GTGTTTCTGAATAGTGGCTTCATACTTTGGATGGCTATAAAATAGAGTTAGAGGCAATGAAGTTTGAATCGCTCACAATGAATCAGATAATATATTTGCCTTTGCAACAGGATTTCTCTGTGCCAAGCACCAAAAAACAAAGTAAATGTTTATTCAGGCTGTATTTAAGTTTCTATCATCTCCATTGTCCAGGGATTAAAATCTCAGACACTAATCTATCCCTGTAGGTCACTTTAACTTAGGCTCTATGTGGTATGGTCATAAATCTTTGTTAGAGTTTATGTCTCTGGCCTTATTTCATTTGAGCATAACAGTTTTACTTGGCTAGCTTCAGAATAGTAATATCTTTCTTTAAAAAGCGTACCATTAACGTAGGTATATAGAAAAACTGGGTTTCAACGAATCCCTTAATAGATTGATGGTGGAGTACCTTTTATTTCGCTTGGAGAGGTCGGTTTCAATTGCACCCATTTCGCGCCTAATCAGTAGCCACTTCACATGCCATCCGCAGCCGCTTAACTTAACTTATGAGCAAATATAGAGACAAAGAATAGGACATCCAACCAAAACATGAAATGCCTAAGTGGACCAAATTGGAATATAAGAAGCAAGTAGGTTTGAAGCTGGCCACTTTTCTTGCCTTCGTGTCTTTGATGAATTATAGTTAAGCCTAGTGTCCTGTTCTGACGATATCCGTCACATGACGGATGAAAACTCAGTAAGGATGTATCGGGTCTTAGGTCGGTGCGCCGAGGACCTATTCACACAAATCTATAACCACAGCTCCAAGGCAACCCCCCATAGCCTCCAGTGGAACCAAATAACGAATCCCTTCCACTCGCCTTTTCAAACGAAATGAAAGGTACTCCAACATCGTACCATTAACATGGCTGAATTATGTATAAAAATAGGCGTTTATTAAAACCCACCTCTGTAGCCTGCAGCCATTCTAGCAGAGTTGAACATGCCAAGCTCGTTGGCGCTATAAGCAGTTTCTCTGAACAACATGTCCTTTGGCAATGCCGTGACGTCCGTAATGTGGTCGACTCCTCGAGACGCGCCTTCATTTTGGCCCATGTAATGCAGAAGCTGGCGTTGCTGGACTGTTTGCTTACATGGTCAAGAACGAAAAGTAGGAAGGTAGAAAACGGGGAAGTAGAGAAATAAGACATATATAAGCGATGAGCGACTTAGTTGTTTGGTGAACAATATTTCAGGGGAATGCGTTTTTATCAGTATAGGTGACAGTTGGCTCGTTGGGGTCGTTATAGTTATAATGTGTGATTATTAGTCTAGTTGAATTTTCACCACTGAGATGACTAATAGTACTCTTCTTAACGAATAAATCAACACAAGCCCACCATCAGGATATCATCCTTTTATAAGAGTATGATGTGTGCTTGAAAAAGCCTGCACCTTTTGTTGGGGTGTCTTTACCTATTTGGGACTCATGTGTCAAATCGAACAAGTGTATCCGCCACTATCCCATAATTTCGTCTAGACTAGAACCTACATAAGGTGGTCATCATAATATCGAATTAACTTCTTCAATGTGGGCCACACAAGACATGTTTTTAGGATTTGATGGCTTACGTACAACGATAAAGCAAGACCAGGCTTTAGTATAGATTTGTTTTGACCTCGTTAACGCCAACGCTATACAGCTAAAGAAGATTTCAACCAAACAAAAGGCCATGCCATCTTGGTCTTCATATTTTCCTATTGAGATAAGGAAATCTCTACCAGTGCCGTGTCTGTGTTTGGTAGATAAAGATCACTGAGTTAGATATTTTGGGCAAATCTAAAAAATCTTGTCCCACCTTTAAGCGTATATATAATAGGATATTGGCAACATAAGAGACATGGAGACACTAGGCATCCAATCACCTACCAATAAAAGATTTTAGAACTAACGAGGCTACGAAGCACTCCATATTTATGCAATATTATAGCTAAGACTGATTCGATATATGAATCTGACCGCTAGGAGATCAATATCTGAAAATAAAGCTCTCTTGCTAAGCTTTGTGGATCGGAGGAAACGCCCGGCGGGGCCCAAGATAGAAACATGATCAGAGAAAGAGTGGCTCGGATATGCTGAAGCCGCAAGGATGCGTAAGATAGGCGAATCTATCGGAGAAACAAGGTCGGTGAATATGCCGAATAGAGGAGGAAAATGTAACAAATTATGTAAAGTCTGTCTGTATGTAAAGTATTAGCGCTATTCATTACCTTTGTATGGTGTTTCAGCCAAGATAAAATGACAAGATAGGTCTTGTTTGTAGTGAAATTAACTGAGCAATCCATAGCAAAGTCAAACAAAAGTCCCCATTAAATAAGAAAATTGAGAGCTTTGCCCTGATAATCATATTTGCCGTGAAACTCACCTTTACTAGGGCCATGCGGCCAAAGGTTGGATAACCTGCTAGCCTCAGAGCCTGCTGATTCACAATTCGAATCCTGCAAGACAGAGTGAAATTCTAAATTATAGTCCAGTTTGAACGAGGACAGGCTTTTGGGTTGCATAATTTAGTGAGTGTCAACGATAGATTAAGCCTTCTTCTTCAATTCAGAATTGCCATACTTTTTGTATAATAGCTGTATTCACCATCAGCCTCACCAGCGAACCCGATTTGTGTGCATAAGCTTGGTACACACTACCACTACATGAACTGCACGGATGCCAGTGGGTCACAAGTCAGACTTACAAGATAGGCCAGGCCTTTTTTATAGAAAATTCTTTTTTTGTGAGATTGTAAATACATTTAGCCGCAAAAACTTATTAATTATCATCTTTGCACCCCGATATAAAAATGGTGCATTTTTTCAATACATCGGATTCGTGATAGCAACGAAGAAGTAAGTATAAAAGCATACGAAAAAGAATAATCAAGGCCTGCTACGAAGGCGAAGGTGGAGCATGTTCATAGTTATGGATCCAGATTTAACATGTTAACAGAACACATTATGTCAAGGCGCATAGGAGAACAACATTCCGACAAACCACACAGTCTAGCTCTAAAGCAAATAATTCTTTAAAATTGGATACTAAATGTCCTGTATTTGGCTTAATAGCCATCAACGATAAATGCCAATAAGCTTTTATAGCTCGGAACTGAGCTTAAGTCAGGTAGGCTAAGGGCTATCAACCACTCTCTCCCTCTTTTCCACTCTCTCTTACACATAAAACATACCACCGAGTAATAGGTCATAGGAAGCTGCAGAGGTCACCTAGCAACAGAAGGTTATTCGACTAATAACGACCAGAGGTTAGTGTTTGTTCAAACCTAATTGTTGAGCAGGTTACGAAGGAGCAGGAAAACCTCATGCTGCATTTTTTCCCATTTCCAATCAAGTCCGGTAACAACTTTATGTGAATTTATCCTCACTGTCAACTGGCAGAAGCAGGTATTGCAATAACATTACTCACTAATCAGTTTATGCTCAAGTTGGGATTAAAAATGCTGAAAAGGTGATTTTATGGCGAAAATCAGAAGCAGCGATGATCCGAACTAATGGATGCGAGGAGAAACAGAGCTTCAATGAACACCTAAAATAAAATTGTTGGGAGAGTTTCATTTTGCATGAGCGTGCGTGATGGAGAGATTCGAAGGTCGATCTCACGAGAAGGCAAAGGTTGATTCCCATCGCACGGAGGCTGTTTGGCTTTAATACGACGCTTAAATCGACGCAGTCCACGAACCATCCTCGCTCGTTTTGAGCAAAAATGGCCTTGTACAAGTCTCAAGTTAACACTAGGCCAAGAAAACTGTCCGGCTCTATCTTACGTCTTGTATATAGTCATAACTAAAAGCAAAAATGAATATACATATAGACAGATAGATAAAAAATGATTAGGCTAATTTCCTTTCATATAAGTCATGATATTTTCGCATCAACGTGCGTGTTTATCTGTCTGTTAACGCCTACTTTGATCAATCAAAGAGATTACAAAGCCTAACATTAGGCCCGGGCCATCAAGGTTTAAAGAACCAAGAAAAAACCCTGACCGAGACTGTGTAGGTCCGTAAGCAACTCTGGTTGGAATATTGAGACGTAAAATTGCTAGCGCGTAAGTCAGGTTATGAAACCACCTGTCCTAATCTCCCAGTCTAGGATCTGTAAGGTTTAACGACCCATGGTCAGGCATTACTGGGATTGCGCGTTCTCGTACGTCTGGTTTGGTTGCTGAGCCTAATCTACCATGTTGGACGAGAGAGAGAGAGAGAGTAAAGTTAGAAGCATCAGTGAGTGGAAAAGTTGAGTAGCCTCGACATGAGTCAACATTAGAGGATTGTACGCTAGTTTATTTATTTGTATAAGGAAATAGCCGCCACCGTACGCAGTCCCGGTTCGGAAAGTAGCTTCACTCATCTGCAAGCATGTAGAGTAAGGTTGAAGTACCCGACCAAATTATGGGATGCCTCATAAAGATCGCGAAGTTAGATGTTTGTAAAAGCGACTAGGGTTGCAGCCAGCCGCCTTTTGCACAATTTCGTAAAGTATGGATTCTTGCTCTGATGATGTCTGTCACGGCAGAAAAGACGAAATCTCAGCACAGGCTTAGCTTGCTTGTAGGACGGCACAATACAACATTTTTGTCTACGTGGCGATCCTCCGGTATTTTCCAGTGAGACCCCATTACCAATTCCTTATGATCAGCTATTCCATCGAAATAGGAAGTCGTGTAACCAAATTTTTCTTCATATATTTTGTGACTGAAAATAAAATTCAGAAAATGGCCAGCATATGTTGGTTTGCTATAAGCATCTCTTCCCAGCATACCCTCATCTCTAATAATCATAGTATCCAAAAAAGGTAAGGACTTATCCTCTTCTATTTCCATTATAAACCTAGTGCTCCATTTACAGTGGTGGTAGGAAACTATCTAAGCTTTCCTTATCATGAGGCCAGATGACGAAATTGACATCTATGAATTTAACCAACAATTTGGGGGTTAGTATTGCTTCTTCCATTAAGCGTTCCTCAAATTTTGCCAGATAGTTGATCGCCAAGATTGGAGCTAAGCTAGATCCCATCACAAGCCCTTGTGTCTATTCCCAAAACTTACCATC